AGCTACCCACAGACACCAGTCCTCCCCTCCTGTTGTGTGTAGTTATGATTAACTGATAAGCTCCAGCTTATCGGTTAATTGCGTAACCAACTACATGTTGGCATCACCGCAAGTTCTGTTCCTCACCCAAGTTCTTCATTCAGGTGGGGTTCTTCTCAGGTCAGCGCTGCTGGGTTAGATTCGTGGGTAGACAAGCCCTTAGCTCCCATTTCAGTGGAAGAGTTGGTGTCTTGCCAGAAATCCACCCAACGAATTGAATGTCACCAGTGACATGCTGTCCACGGCGTCTGGTCATTTCTTGAATGTTTTTCTCCCCTGGCATCTCTGTCAGTATAGTGTGAATCCTGCCTCCTGCTGCTCTTGGTCTGTGTTCCCCGAGCCCATGAATAACCGGACACGCTGCCCACGATAGGCATGGACACCTGCTAGGGCCCGAAGGGGAAGGTGTGAGAGGCTTCTCTGCCTGTACCCACAGCATAGTGACACGTCAGATCTTTGGGATTGCAAAGAAATTCTGCCTCCTGCGCACTCAGCTCCCCATGACAGGGCCCCGGGCTCCATCCATGCCCCTGACCAGCCCTTTCCCTGTTTTCACACAGAAACAGACACAAGCCGAGCGGCAGAAGATTGTGGCCGAGTTTCAGCAGTTGCGCCACTTCCTTGAGGAACAAGAGCAACTCCTGCTGGCCCAGCTGCAGAAGCTGGAGGAGGAGATCATGAGGACCCAGACTGACACTGTCCGGAAACTCTCTGCACAGATTTCCCGCCTCGTTTCCCTGATCAGGGAGCTGGAGGGGAAGTTGCAGAAGCCTGCGAGTGAATTCCTGAAGGTGAGTGAGGAACACAGGCACTGACTCCAGGGGGGCTCCCGGGGCTTCGGGCTTCGCATCTGCCAGCAGTCAGCTTCCCTGCTGTGCTGTTAGTGCATCCAGCCGGCAGCCCTTACAACCAGCTCCCTCCTCCCCCGCCCCCCAGCACCTCCTGCCTGCTGCAATCAGCTGTTCCATGGTGTGTAGACGGTGTTGGGAGAAGGGGGAGGATCGGGGACAAGGTGCATTTGGGGGAGGGGTGGAAAGAAGCAGGGAAGAGGGAGGATGGTAGGAAGGAGTGCAGCTGGGTGGGGGAGGGTGCTGGGAACGATCACTCCTGGAGACAATTGGAAGTCGGTGCCTTTGGGTAGAAACATTCCAGATTCCCACACAGGAAAGGGTTCAGCACTTGGACATTTTGGTGTAGCTCTGCATGGGGGAGGGGGTG